TTGATGGGCGGTCGCAAAGCGTGTGCTGTCATTGAAATGGCTTCTTAATAATATTAAGCTTTTGTGTTAAGAGCATAAGCGATGAATTTGATTTGCTATTCTTACGTGCCATCTAGCGAAGAAAAACTGTCTGCAAAATCGTGTTTCGGGTTTTTAGTTAGGTTATCAGTGAGTGAGAAAACCAACGGATGATAACCAACCAAATGTGTAGATTTCGGTACCGTCCCTCTTCACAATATTCCTTTCACCATTCTTCGTCCAATCTGGCAAACGATCTTCAAAAACACTGAAAAATGAGGATTAAATTACTGAATCGCACAGAGCTTCCGAAATAAACTGTAGAACTGTACAGATCCGTCCATTTTTCCCTCATTAAATAAGAAAAGTATTGAAAAGCAACTTGAAACTCACGGCCTTATGCGCGCAACCACAGATATTTTGTCTTCAGCCATCAGGATCTGAAATGTGAACCAAAATCAAAATTCGATAAGCTAAAAACCGTCCGTTCAAAAAACGAAGAAAGAAACGAACCGCATCTGGGAACTCTAACTACAACGAGAACGTTTGACAACAAGTATGACGAAAAAGCGATTTGGAGGAATCGTAAAGAATGCAAAGAAAAGAAAGTAAAAAGAAAACACAAAAATAATCTGACGATAAGGAGCAGCAAACGGCGAACGCACTCGAGACTTGAATGTTTATTTTCCCACCATTTTCAAATTTGCCTACGTATCTTGTGCATTGCACGTCGAATAGTCAGGCTGATCGATGGTAGGCGGAGCTCACGCCACGCATTCTATTCGAAGTCGTGTGTCGCGATGGTTGTGGGGGGAATTTGCCTGATTCTCTTCTTCATAATCCCTCTTTATGATCTTTAAATCAGTAGGAGCCGTAGTACCGACTGTGTCTCAATTTTCATGCTTGAGGTATTGTGGTGATGCTGACATCAAGCTTACTGGAGTGGTCGTCTCATCCTTTGTTATATTTCGAAGATGTCTAAAAGATTTCATTCAAAGGCATCGTTACTTCATATTAACTTTAGAAGAGATTTTGCAAGAGGTTCCGGTTCTCACACTTTGGGTTTGGGTGCAAGCTAATACGGTCTTTTGTTACTCATTCTAGAGCTGGGATTTTGAAGACTCAGTTCTCGTCGTTGATAGGTAATCACTGCTTGTTCACTTGTGAGGAAATGTAGGGTATGCACAGGTTCGGTTACGGGCTCAACTAGCTCTGAGAAACCTTTTGATTTCCACCAAATAGACTATGGGGGGATCTTGATGGGCGGTCGCAAAGCGTGTGCTGTCATTGAAATAGCCTCTTTATAATATCAAGGTTTTGTGTTAAGAGCATAGACGATAAATTTTGATTTGCTATTCTTACGTGTCGTCTAGCGAAGAAAAACTCTGCAAAATCGTGTTTCGTGTTTTTAGTTCATTCTCTCACTTGGTCCTTTCTCCATATGGCTGTATAGCTTTTGAGGCATTCATTGATTCGGGCATAGAATTTTGGTAACTTGTTACGCATTAGTGGCATTTGACAAGCCATTTATTGGCGTTCAGTCGCGATGACTCCTTGTGCACAGAAGGGGCTTGAAGTCGTGGCGCCAGGAAGAGGACAATTGCGAAGAAGTCCATGATCGACGGTATTATGGGGATTTCATATTCATTTTGCGATGGAACAGAGTCGTGGGCTTATGTTAGTAGTCGTAGCAACGGAGGAAGGGGATGGCCAGTACATGTTATTATTTTCGCATGCGTGTCGCTCCGAGAATTATAAGGCCGATGGATACGTCTAATGTAGATAACGAATGCCATGACTTTATTGGTTTTGTGGTCGACAGACGCACTATTATAATTTCTCCAAGGATTTATGCATCATTATATCATTTTTGGTTTCCCAATTATCTTGTAAGATATCAACGTCAGTAACTGTTCTTGGAAATGAGAGATATATTATTCGAAAACCAACGTGTATAGATGGGCTCGAGGAAATTGTAGACAGCTTTACTGAAAAGTCGCCTGGTCTCATCTGTAGTTGCACTCTACGTTCAGTTAGACAAATAACCCAGTTGTTCTCTTGCGGTGTCTTGAATTCGATGAGCAGCAGACCAGATTCGTGACTAGCTTCACTACGTTACATGTTGAGCTGAGAAAGTTGGATCACCCCACCCTCCCGCTTTGACCGTGTCCATAGTTTGGACTTCTGTAGAGTTACATCATTAAATTACATCAGAATTGTGAGCTCGAGCATAGTTTGAAAATCCGGCCTAGTCTTAAGATCTTAGAGCACTTTCTAGCTCTCACGCGTTCATAATTCTCAGGATTAAAACTTGCCCCTTTTCCAGTTCATGGTCGGTCTCTCATCGGCGTATTTCATGATAAATATGGTTTATGAGATTTGTTCCTTGGATAAACCTGTGATCCTAAAGTGTAGCACAACGGCCGCTGCGGAGTAGGCCGTAGTAAGGGTCCTAAAACCGACTTTACAGACGTACACACCTAAATGGGGGTTGGGTCTCGCGACATTATAGAGGCTGTAGACTTTGCACCATCGCACCGGGACACACATTGGCCCGCAGACAACATTCTGAAGTCAGGTGTACGAATGGCCCGCATATTTGGTCAGTTCGTCCATACCCCTTCCATGAAACATTTTCCCTCCTATTCTCGTCTAACCCCTGAATTTGCTTCTCTCTCGATGCCTTATATTTCTATAGAGGCGTCGATTTTCACGTCGTCTTCGCCATTTTTGCACGATACTGGACTATCACTTCCATTATTTTCTAGGACTAGATCCCACAAAATTATCGTGAATCGTGCCATCAAACACGACTGCCAGTTTAGTCTTTGACCATCTCCTCAATAATAATAACGCTTGTCCAACAAATTCTGTATTCTTATATCTTCTAGAGTGTTGTTCTTCACTCATCTTTCGAAACTCGAACTTCTGATTGTGAGTTCTAGAAGATTACCAATCGTAACTATGCGAAAGTAGGAGAAAAGTTTTTCTCTCCTAATTATAGTTGGTAATCTCCTGAGCAGTGATAAATCTTCGATCATGAGGATATGTCTCCGCTTCTTTATCGTGTTCTTACCTTGATTCATTCGGTGAAGTCACTCGATCGAGGTGGTTGTTCTACGACCTTCAGAGATGTTCCTAATGAATTACGTGAATTATGTTCAGACATGAATTTTGGTGACACACTCTCGGGTGCTGAATATTTAGCATCTATCTATGGTACCGAAAAAGATAAAGTCAACTGCTCCTTCTTCTTCAAGGTAATGATCTTACGTTTCATTTTTCTTTTTTCGTTTGGAAAATAACGGCATATCCACGGAGACTTCATACGTTTTCAACCAGGCTCTTGCACTTAAACGCAAATGATCATTCTTATTATTTCCAGACTGGAGCTTGCCGGCACGGTGACAAGTGTTCCCGAGCCCATCACACTCCAACATTCTCGCCTACAATTTTGCTCAAGAATTTCTATCACAATCCCGTTGTAGACGTACGACAAGCGGATGCGTTTGACAGTAAGTAGCAGTTGTTTTTACAAAAGGAGACTGTAAGAGAATAGCTTCGACAGAATGGATAGTAAATTCATGAGTTTATAGAGGTTGGAAGGAAAAACGAGGAAGAACAGAGATATTTCGATGAGTTTTACGAAGAAGTTTTCACGGAACTTGAAAGAAAGGTGAGTGCGGTTGTGCCTACCCTTATTTTTGATAAAACCGGCAATATCTATGTGTCAAGACAGAGTGATTATGCGCTATCACTGCCGTATTTGTATCATGCGATGTCTTTTTTTTTTGTTATTGACGATAAAATTTATGATGTTTTGGATTCCCAAGCTGAGTACGCTGCAACCTTCTTAATACAGGCTAAGGCTATAGTAGGCTGATTGTTCATAGAAAGTCATGAGTCCAGTCGTCTGCAGTTTTCTGGCAAAAATTGTTTATTCAAGTATGGTGAAGTGGAGGAAATTAATGTGTGCGAAAACATTGGCGAGCACATGGTGGGCAACGTCTACGTGAAGTTTGTGCGGGAGGAAGATGCGGACAGAGCTTGTCGTGATCTCAACGACAATCGTTGGTACGTTCATATGATATCCACTTAGAAGTTCAATGAAATGACATACTTCTCGCTCATAAAGCACAGATCATCAGCTCTTTTGGAGATAGGCGCCTTTTAATGTGTGCTGTCTGTCGCTTTCTAAGAGAAAATTCAATAATTCCTCGGGCAGCGCATTGTGATAGGATTGAGTTGATGTTTCAGTTATTCCTTGTAATTTTATCGTGTTCAGATAGTCTACACTGCAATCTCCACTGCACGATCTATTTAGTTGAAAAGATCCTTCGTTCCCACGTCCCATGGATTTCGAAAACGTTTTCTATTTCTTCTAAATGATCGGAGAGAAACGTTTTTCCTAATGCTCGTAGCTCTTGTTTCTTTTGTGATTGACTGCAGTATTCAGGGACCGTAAAAACATCGTTTTTGGGAACGCGTGGCCGCTAACCAACATATTATCCCTTTAACTTGAAACCCCCATTCAGAGTTCAGATCCATTGACCGGTTGTGTTCTCGCAGTGCGCGCGTCGTTCGAGACGGTTGAAGGAAATAATGCATTCATAAGTGAGTGAGTAGCTCACACATTTCGGTATTGTTCAGGAAAGCACACATTTTGGGTGACGGGCCATCCAGCAACCGTCGTTGAGGTTTGATGGTATATAAGATTCAACGATCAGCTCTGTTAAGTCAACAAAAAGCACTCGAATATGCTGTCCTTAGCGTCACGCTGCTTAGTGTTGCTCATTTTGGCAGTCTGTAAGGATGCGCTTAATAGCTATGGATTAACTAAATAAATCTAGCTGTCGTATATTGAAACCTTTCAAGACTGAGCTGATTATTTTAAGGTTCAATGGAGCTCCAATTTACGCGGAATTGTGTCCGGTAACAGACTTTCGTGAGTCTCGTTGTCGCCAACATGAAGTGATTACCTGCTCCAAGGGAGGATTCTGCAATTTTATGCATCTCAAAGCAATCAGTCCTGCCCTTGGAGAGAAGTTGTTTGGAAGGCGTGGAAGACGGTATGCTTTGATTTTTCTTCAAATTATGCGTATAATATCTTGTGAAAAAAAGAGTTTAAAGATCTATAATTTCGGGTTGTTTATCACGAAAAACTATAGGAAATGCTCCTCTTTTGGTAGGATATTACATGGAGAGCTCCTGTAATGCTAATGGTGTTCATTCAAAAAAGTGTCCGACCCATATTTAATGCTACCTTTCAGTGCCGATTCGGCAGGCCACTATCCATCTCTTCGTGGAGTCTCAGGTGGCGGTGGTGGTCGTGATCGAGACCGCCATGAAAGGGAGCGACGACGAGATAGATCTCCTTACAGGGAAAGAAGACGCAGTCGTGATCGAGATCGCAGACGTTATTGAGACCGTTGTTATTGATGTTCATAGCGTATTTTCGTTTTTCCGGTCTATTATTTCGTGCTGTGTGTTTCCTTCCTTGCACTTTGGTCTTTTATATCGACTGTAAAGAGTGAGCACATTTGTTATGAGTGTTGTGATTCATGTAATGATCACTTCTACATTTATTATTTTCAACTATGAATTTCTAATGAATATGAGGATAAGTGGTGGCTTTCGTATAATTGAGGTCTCATACCTTGCCATTTTCTGTAATTTGCTTTTGTGTTGCACTGGTAGGGTAGACGTGCTCACGGGACAGCTAATGCCTTTACTATTCAAACAGATGGCTGCGTCGAATTTCCCCCACAACAAGAAGAGAACATTGTACGTTGGTGGATTTGGCGAGGAGGTTACAGAGAAGGTTTGGTGGATACCTTGAAAAAGGATTCAATAGGTTGTGTTATATACAGGTGTTACATACTTTCTATAATGTGTGTGTTGTTTAGGTTTTGATGGCAGCTTTCATTACGTTCGGGGATATTGTCGCCATTTCAATTCCAATGGATTATGAAACAGGGAAACACCGAGGATTCGGGTATGTGGCAAAGTGTTCTACCTTGTGATGCGAACCAATATAAATAATTATGGTAGAGCAGTTGACGTCAGTGAATTAAGCTTCTTGTTAGATTTCTTCGTCTTCTCTGAAGGATCTTCAATGTTCAGTTTTACAATTGCGGTAGTTAAATCTAGCCGAAATACCTTCCGATCGCAATTTATATTTAGCTTTTACTGCGTCTCCTACCTAATTGCTTTGTTGGAGCTATATAGATCTTGCTCGAAGAACGAATCATGAATGGTTCTGACAGCCTTCAGATACACACTCAATCAGAACCTTTTCAGCTTCGTGGAATTCGAATTAGCAGAAGATGCAGCGGCTGCTATAGATAATATGAACGAAAGCGAACTGTTCGGCAGGACAATTAGGTAAAGCTTGCTAGTTACTTACATGTTCTTAGAATGGATTGTCCTCGAGTTGGCATTGTAGCTCTTTTTATTAGGCACGCAAAAATCCATTGCAAAATGGGCATAGGCCAAGAGAAATGACTCAATGAGAGTGGGGGTTCGATAACATTCCAGCGCTCACAATTAGATTTTGAGTGAGAGCAGTCGTTTTTGTTACAGGTGTAATTTCGCCCGCCCTCCAAAAGCCACAGAGCGGTCCTCTCGTCCAGTTTGGGCAGATGACGAGTGGCTCAAGCGCTATGGAAAAGGTAGTGGCATAGCAGATGCTAAGGAAAGCAATGGCTCAGCATCAACAGCAAAAGGACTGCCACGAGTTTATTTAGGTGTCAAGATCGGCATAAGGTAATTTGCTTTTTATTTATAGACCTTGCATTGTTCAATATATTCTATTACTAGATATATTGGACGAATAGTAATCGAGTTACGCTCGGATGTTGTACCTAGGACAGCAGAAAATTTCCGGTGTTTGTGTACAGGCGAGAAGGGCTTCGGTTATGAAGGTGTGTTTAATAAACATACATTTCCGCGTTCGTAGATTCGATGCTATCTTATATTTTTAAGGATCTTCCTTCCATCGTATCATACCGAAATTCATGCTTCAAGGAGGTGATTTTACGAAAGGTGATGGCACGGGAGGAAAGTCAATATACGGTCCTAAATTTGAGGATGAAAATTTCAAGGTGTGCAAATTGAATAGTAGGTTTACATTCTCTTTAAGGTCACGAAAGATGGTGGATAATAATGTTTGTTTTCATGACTACAGAGGAATATTTCCTGGAAATATGTGCTCTCTTGAGCGTACTGATGCTTGTTTCGTAATCAACTCTTTTAGCTGAAACATCTAATGCCTGGTACTGTGTCGATGGCGAACTGTGGTCCCAACACAAATGGATCGCAATTTTTCATATGTACTGAAAAGACGGATTGGCTAGACGGAAAGCATGTCGTATTCGGACACGTAGTTGAAGGAATGAATGTTGTTCGACAAGTTGAGCAACAGGTAGTCTATTTTACTTTTATTGCGGCGTTCGGATCTCGTCTCTGAAAAGTTGCTAAGTTGCTGACGTCCTTCAGGGTACACCTTCTGGAAAACCTCAGATGGTTGTGAAAATAGTGGAATGCGGCGAACTCGATCCAGTCCCCCAAACAGAGCCGCAAGAGAACGAAGAAAATTCAGATCCTCAGACCCCAATGGATGTAGAACCTCAAAAGGAAACGGCTTAATGGGTATTTTGCAAGTCAATGTAATCTTGAAACTCGCATTGTTGAAAGTTATTTTGCATTGCTCCGATTGTTCCAGTGATATTACGTTGTTGTCGTTTTGACCGTTTTTGTTAGATGCTGAGTAAACGATCTCATTGATTGGATTCTTTGTAGAAATCGGTTCGACACCGTGCTTGCACGCTTACTTTTTTTAAATGTGATCTAACATTGTCGAGTTTCATCTGTGATATCGCACTTCATTATGTCCCTTTAGGATGAGCAGCAAAACAGGTGGTAACACCGAACCTATGCCCTTTGTGCGCAAATGGGGCGCTGCAGCAGCAAGCGGCTCCGATGATAACTCTAACACTGGACCAACTCCTACTATCGAATGTGAGTTCTACACATTCCATCCCTAACGTGTATAGCAATATACTTTTCAGCAGTAGCTGCGTCAGAGCATGATACTTCCTCACACTCACATCGAGATCGAAGTCGTAGCCGTTCGCGCGATAGAAAAGAGCGTCGCGAACGTCGTCGGCGATCACGTTCAGGCGATCGAGATCGGCATAAAAGGAGAAGAAGTCGCTCACGAAGACGTAGCAGGTCGCGTGATCGTGATCGAAGGCGGTCTCGCAGCAGGAGCAGGTGGGGCTATTCATTTTCCTCAAGTGTAGTAGTTTGTTCTTGAAAAAAATTATGTTTAAGCAACAAAGTTGATGTTTCGTTCACCCAGTTATATGTATTCCTGCATGGAGCAAATAAATGAATAAATATTTATACGAATGAAATTACAGGGATCGTGATCGCGATCGCGAAAGATCTCCTGCACCTCCGCCAGCGCCAAGTTATCCTATTGGCGCTCCAATTGTGAAAGAACCTGTTATTAATCCACTTATTCGGCCGGAAATCGGTATGTATTTCTCATTTAAGAAACTCCTATTTACTGATACATGCTAGTTGAGTAGGAATTACTTTTTTGTGAGTTCATTTACTAAAATCTGTTAAAAAGAAGGCTGGCATATTTTTCCGCATTCTAAACTCAACCAACCACCTGTTCTGCGATTTTATATCGACAACGGGTTGTATGTGAAGGGGGCTTCGATGTTCTAATTCGCTTCGCTGGATTTACCCGATTATTGGAACATACCTATATACACTTTATTGTTGAGCTCCGAATGAATACGCTCAGTGCAATAGAATTTAGGGGTTGATTTCGGATTTGAATCAAAAAGAGTGGAAATACTATCTATGAATAGGCTGCGATGTTTACTTACAAGTAGTCCCTACACCAAAGACGAGTTAGGTGGCCTGAAGCAGAGTTCAAAGTTATTGGGAATCGACCCTTGCAAATGAATGGCCGATCACTGATCAATCAGTTTAAATTTTCCTTTCGATCAGTAAAGTGCTCGCGAAAGGAAACTTGAATATATGTTTCCCTCGCTTGACCTTCAAATTCATGATTTATATATGGCTGTGTTTAGCTGCATCTGGCACTGATGCTATAGCGGGCCACGATTCGGCATTGGTAGAGTCGGGACGGAAACGTGAACGTAAATCACGTTGGTCTGTAACAAAAAGCTTCGTGCCGGGCATGCCCACTATCTTGCCATCTAACCTATCAGATGATCAACGCACTGCTTATCTTCGTGAGTTTTATAATTCGCTGTTTGGCTTTTCATGAGGTTGCTTTTATTTAAAAATTATTGGGAATCGGGAGCACAATGCTCAGGTAAGCTGGCTCAGGTACGTTAATTTTATTAGTGTGATAATATATTCTGTCAATTTTTTCCTTTTTACGAGTCCAGTTTTTAATTTTAGAGGAGGTCAGTTTTTGAGATTATTTTTTCTCCTTTTGTCAAGTTTATATTTATATTTCCGAAGTATTTATTACGCATTGTATTCATGTGATTGAATGTTTATTCTGGTACTAATCTATTCGCGGCTTGGCCGTGATTTCAGTGCAACTGGAGATTGAAGACGCCACACGCAAGCTGAGACTGGGCGATTTTCTTGGCTCGACAGATCCAGCGGAAAGGCTAGTCGCTAGCAGCAGACACTATGCTCACGCGTTTCAGGCATCACTCACACGACAAGCACTGCACACATTATGTACGTGTTACCACCAAATGGTATGCACGTACGGTGTTGGTGCATACATCGTGTGATGTCGTCCTGACAGAGAAGTGTTTCTGTTTTGAACTTTTTCCATTATTAATGTTCAAAAATAATAGCTATAAGATGGCTTTTAAGGCATCGTAGCAGATTTGCGCGTAAGATAATTATATTTCAAGTGGTCACGTCAAGTAGGTTTAGTTGTTGGGCAGAGTTTCGCTTGAGCTGAATTTCAGCACAAGCACTTTTCTCTTCTTCTATTCTACCGTGACCTTCTCCCGATCAGTTCGTTTTGAAAGTATTAATTTCGTTTTTTTCAGGCGTGAATTTCGCTTTTTGTTTGTTTTGATGCTGAACCTGCTAATCCTAATCCTAATGATATTTAGCGTTTAGATTCCTCCATTCTCCAAGTCCCTTACTCAACGGATTCATCAATTAACCGCAATTTTTCAGCTGCTCTAACTCATAATCGAACATTTTAGCTTTCACGGGATCTCCCAGCTGCGACATAAAATTATTTCAATATATAAAAATAATTGAAAATGTACCCCAGCAACTGAGATACTCAATAGCTTCATTTCAGAAGTCCTTCCCCAGAGCCGATTTACGATAGTAATGGCAAGCGCTTGAATACACGAGAAGTCCGAAAGCGTCAAGAATTAGAGCAGCTACGTCATGAGAAAATTCAAGCGTTGTTGAAGATTAATCCCAACTTCAAACCACCAGCTGATTATCGGTTTGTGTTATTTTGAATTAGTTTTCGCATTTAAGGATTGGTTTAATGATAATTTTTATTAAGTGCTCCGAACATACGTCTTCACGATAAGGTATGGATACCTCAAGAAAGCCATCCTGAGTTGAATTTCGTTGGCTTGTTGATCGGGCCACGCGGTAACACGTTGAAGAGCTTGGAGGCGGAAACAGGGGCTAAAATTATCATCAGGTGAGTATAGTCTACTCATAATTATTCGCGATTTCATGGCTCTACACCGGCTGACGATTTTTTTACTGGAAGAGCCTTTTTTCAGAGGAAAGGGTTCCGTGAAAGAAGGAAAGTTGGGAAGTAGAATGGGCCCCATGCCGGGAGAGAATGAGCCGCTCCATGCATATGTTACTGGAACGGATCAGGCTACAATAAAGAAAGCTTGCGATAAGGTATGATTAGAACTGGTTTTGTTTCATGGAACCTTCTTGGCTATATTACATTTTTCAGATTCGCTCTATAATAGCGGAAGCTACAGCAATTCCTGACGGTCAAAATGAATTACGTAAGCTACAGCTTCGTGAATTGGCTCTGCTTAATGGAACACTCAGACCAGAGGATCTGGTTAGGTACGTTTTCATTTATACCCATTGGAATGTTCTTGTTTCCGTCCTTTATTACTTCCTTTCAAGTGGAGCTCGCTGTTCAAACTGCGGTTCTGACGAACATAAGACATGGGAATGTCCGGATGCACCCAATATTACCGCCAAAGTGGTTTGTATGGCATGCGGATGTGAGTTTGTGAAGAGCTTAGCTTATCTTTCTTTCCTTGTTTGACGGGCGTTGTTTCTAAAACATTTTATTGGCTATATTTTAAGGTGCCGGTCACATTGCTAAAGATTGTAAAAATCCGCGGCCTGGTGGAGCAGAAGGAGCTGGCACTGCAGATGGAGGTATGGATGACGAATATTCAGCTCTTATGGAAGAACTTGGTGAACGTCCAGCTCGACAAGCTGATGGGTCAATGCGAGGACGAGGCACAACCACTGTCCGTGGTCAAGTTGGTAAAGCATTTCACAAGCGGTGCTCTCATGTTACGTCTAATTTCAGAGGGGTACTTTCTTCCCACGCGGTGCTTTGAATAATCAGCCGCCAGTAATTCGCGTGAATTTGGGGACAGCCGCACAACAGCAGATGATGAGCGGTATGGTTCCTCCACCACCAGGTGCTAGGCCACCCTACGGAATGGCACCACCACCGGACCCATATCAGCCACACGGATTTTTCTCCAGTCCTGGAGCTCGAGGGCGTGGAAGTTTCAGAGGGTTCGTTTCTTCTTTGATGGCTTGTTTGGAAATCGGTTTTCTCGATATCAATGCACCATCTTTAGTATTATCCTTTATTTATGTATTTACGTATTTATTAATGTCCTTGGTAATAGTCTGTTAAACTTTAGAGATTACTCCGGTGGATGGTATGGAGGAGCGTCAACAATGCCGTTACCTGTGCCGCCACCGCCGCCTCCACCAATGGGAGGCTTCCCACCACCACCTCCACCACCTCCTCCTCCAGCACCACAGAACGACTTGTCCCGTATACTTTCTGCGCCAGCTCCGCCTCCGCCACCTCCTCCTCCATCACAATGATTTTCAATCAGATTCTGCAGGCTGCAACCTCATTGTGCGCTTTTGTCACGTTTTCGTTTGTTCTCAAGTGTCCTGTTTCGAGAAATTGTAGCTCTGTTGAATGCGTCTGTTGATTACTTTACGTTCCTAGAATTTCGGAGTTCACCTTGCTCTTTGTTATATAAGTGTTTCAAAGCCTATACAGCTAAACAGTCACGTCTACTGCTAACAATGAGTACTTCGATGACCTCATGTGCACCAAAATGCTCGTATGTCTAACATGTTGCACGTTTGGACGACCACCTAAGTTCTCAATACATTTTAGCAGTGTTTTTGTCTTACTTCAGAGCTAAAACTATTATGCTTGATCAGAGCATTTTCAACCTTTCGCAGTTGTTTGCTTCATGTACCATTTGTTGGTTTTTGATTATTTTATCAATAAAGTAATTGTGGTTCGCCCAAAACAAGCGCATAGGATGATTAGGATTTGATGTGGATTCAAGCCAAAATTTTTCTCGTTACTTCTTAGAGAGAGAACATGTGTTGCGATATTGGTTTTGGTTTTAATTACCCAAGTTCGAGGTAATTATGCTAAGCCGGCTATCACGACATGCATTACGGCGGACGTTGGCGACTTTGGAATCTATCGCGGAAGACTTCCAAAAAGTTACGCGTGTGCCACTGTGCATTCCTTTGGAAGGAAAATTTGCTGCTGCAAAATCGCAAACCTGGATGAATTATGTGCCTTTCGATTCAAAAATGACAACATTGAAATCGAAAATACGTGTTGCATCAGAACCTCACTACGGGGATTACTGCACTGTCGGTGTGGCGATTGAAAGTGGAAGTCGTTTTGAGTCCGGATATCCGTTCGGCATAACGCATCTTGTGGAGAAACTGGCGTTTGGATCAACATCACGGCATTCATCGCGAGATGAGATTCACGCGGTACTACAGCAGTATGGAGGTCTGATTGATTGTCAGAGCACTAGGGACACATTCATATATGCAGCAAGTTGCCATGTGACGGGTCTTGAAGCGGTCATGGAAATTATCGCCAACGCTATCTGGAGAGCTCAAAATACACCTGAAGAACTGGAAGAGGCCAAACTGATAGCGCAATATGAAATTGATGACATGCCCAAGAAAATCGAAAGCACGGAACCGTTGCTTACTGACTGGCTGCATATGACCGCTTTCCGGGACAATACGCTAGGTTTTTCGAAGTTCACCACAAAAGAAGGGCTACGCAAAATTACTAGGAAACATATAAACTCGTACATAAGTCAATATCACGCTCCTGAGCGGATCGTTGTTGCAGGAGTTGGTGTTAGTCACGATGAGCTAGTCGCGGCTGTTCAACGACACTTCGAACCAGGGACTGCAATGTGGGACAAAAATCCTGATCTCCTTCTACCGAATCTACCTCAGATTGATTACTCTGTTGCTCAGTACACTGGTGGCGAGATTAGAATTCACAAGGACTTGTCAACTTTATCTATTGGCACACCGTACCCGAATCTTGCTCACATGGCCCTGGGTTTTGAAGGCGCCAATTACAAAGATCCAGATTTTGTTGTGTTCTGTGTGCTTCATATGCTTCTCGGAGGAGGAGGGTCATTCTCTGCCGGTGGCCCTGGAAAAGGTATGTATACGCGGTTATACACTGATGTCATGAACAGGTATCATTGGATTTATGGTGCAACGGCTTATAATCATTCATATGCTGACGCTGGATTGTTTTGTGTACATGCCAGTAGTGATCCTGAGCAGATTAACGACGTCCTTGTTATTATCCTTGACCAATTCTTCAAACTGCTTAAAGGTGTCGAAAAAGAAGAACTGGAAAGGGCCAAAATCCAGCTCAAATCTCAGTTAATGATGAATTTCGAGGTACGACCGGTGATGTTTGAAGATTTATCTCGTCAAGTGATAGGACACGGTTATCGGCGGAAACCTCAAGAATACCTAGAAAAAATAGAAAGTGTGACGGCTGAAGAAATTGTACGAATTGCAGAACGTATGCTAGCTGGACGGCCATCATTAGTCGGATATGGAGACATCGGTAAATTGGCGAGTTACGAAGCACTTGATGAGGCTGTTGCACGTCGAAATCTCCAAAGTCTTACCTCACGGAAGAAGGCGTTTGGTTGGTGATGTGTCGTTTATATATGAAGCCTATAATTACTTGGCTTTCATGTAAATATCTACGTCCTGTGCTTTTATTAAAATACTATCAAGGTTTTGTTATGTATACTTAGGGTCTTTGTTTTCTTCTTGTTTTCTGCGTATCAGATACAGACTTATTAAAGAAAATAGGCGGTTGTTAATGATATTTGTTATTGTACATAAAGTCTTCACATAACCAGACTGCAACCATTCAGCACTGACTAGTGGTGGCCATTAGCTAGGAACTATCATGGGTAACAAGACCGGAAGCGTAACCTGGACTCAGAATTTTGCTGCAGCAAGAATTAAGGGTCTGGATATTGATTATCGAGCAATTCTGAATGCCGTGCGAGCCTTCTGCTTACTTATGCAGAACTGATTAGCATTTTCATTGATACGGTCGTCCAAATAGATTTTAATTCCAAAGTGATATTAGTAAAGATAATAGTAAACAACCAAGGACTGAGGCTGAAAGAAGTGAATCGTCGGCATTCAGAAATTTCAGGCTCAAAAATCAGCAAAGTGAACTTCGTAGTGTGAAAGAATTCTCTAGTGCACTTTATGGATCACGTTCCATCCCTCCCGGGTTTAAGCTCCTCCTAAGTCGCCTTAGTCGATCGGCAGAACAGGCAGCTGTCGTTCGTCCTTCAGGTTCCTGCTCCCACATATCGGTAATGCACGACCATAGCTCAACCAGGCCCTGAAAGTTACACGGGGTTGACACTTTATGTAAAACTGTCAGCAGGTGATGAAACTTAGCGATCGGACAGAACTGCTCGCTTTTGTTCATTTCTTTGGCTATTGCAACTATTTGTAATACTTGAATGTAAGCTTAATCCATTGCGTACCGAGTACTGCACATGGTGAAGCACGCCCCTCTGCCTCCGCGCGCCCGCATTTTCGTCTAAAAACACGCTAAAGTTTCAATGAAGTTCGAACAGCCCATACTTGGCGATTCGCTCAAACAGCCGCCTGTGTGGCTGGCTGCACGCCGCGAACCACGTCGCCCGCGTCGATTTTGAAGGAAACGCCGGGCACATGCGGCAGCTAGCGCAAAACACTGCGGTACGCAATGGGTTAATCCCTATTCCTCCCGGCACGCTACGAGAAGACCTAAAAGTTCACTCACCGTTGGATTCGGTAACGTCTTCTGCTTTTGAATTGGAGTTGGTATGTCAGGCCGCCGTCGTTCACGGACCACCACAGGATACATGTGCTCCAAACGCGGATTACGGGGTACCAGATTGTCAAAAGCGATTCGATGCGACGGAATTTCTGCAAACTCGTTTCAAAGTAGCTCAAAACCTTGGCACCACATCGATTAGAAGAATCAATCTACGACAGTCATTAAAAGTTACACATTCGCGTGGATATTTCTCGAAATCAACTATCATAACTTACCGCCATCTGGCCAAATATCTCTGCATCGCCAAAGAAGCTCCCATAACACTAGCGCACATGAATAGACGTCAGTTTGAAGCAATGATGTCATCGGATCCAGTAGATTCACCGATCCTTCGAGGAGTTCACCAGCCATATAGCGTACGGTACCTCGCTGGAACCATCAATACTAGGTCGAGGATAGTGTAAGTACATATCAAGGAAGGGTTATCGAAGGTTTCTTGCCTCGGTTAAAAGCTCGAGGTTTGTCTCTGGTCGGCCTTCCGGGAATGAAACTGAAAGTCCGAAATCGGCAATATAGAGTTGTATGCGTGAAGAACTCTGACGGATGTATAGAATGTTGTACGGATTGAGGTCACGATGTGCTATCACCGGTTTTGAAACTCCAGCTGAAATCATAAATACATGAAAAATTGGCACGACATTCAACAAGTAGCAACTTCTTGCGTAACACTTTCTTAGAAATATTGAAGTGTCAGGAGTATGTCATCGCAAATGTCTACATGAGTATTTTGCTCCCACATAAGGATAAATCCTCGCTGATAGTTCCCTGTTGTAAGGCAGAAGTACAAGTGCGATCTGCCAAACAAAAAGATGACTTACCATTAGTGTGTGAATGTAGGAATGCGAGTCCGTCGTTGACAGCGATGGCGCAGTCGAAGAACTCGGTCAGATCCAGCGAACATTCCTCGAGAAGTGAATGTAAAGAGCCAGAGTATAACTGAAGCACTAGTTGCTTTTTGGCAATCACTGCATGTATCTGAAAAGGAGACAATTATGAGGGCAGAGTATTTTTTCATCGAGCCAATCCCAAAGCTTTAAGCGTGCCCGCATTGAACAGCTTACTTGAGCTGTTTCCAAATTTAGAGCTTATCCTCATCGCATGCCGGATGAACATTGTTTACGTTAGAAGAAATGAAGGCCTAATCCTTTTCAAAACCAATATTAGGACTGGGCGGGATTTCACGTAATATAAGAGAAACTAAGTTATTGTAAGTACAACTCACCATTTGTATAATATTTGGATTTTCTAGTGACTGCAAAAGTGTAAGGTTTCCATACTCATTTTCGAAAACCATTTGGTCCGAATGATACGCTTTCACAGCCACATCACCCATACCTCAAAAATAGCCTATCAATTTTGGAACGATGGTGGCGTATTCATTAAAATTATTGCACTCGTTCACTTTGTTATATAACAATGAATTAAGAATGAACATCTGAAAATGAACATCAACCTTTCAACATTATTCTAGGGAATATTTATATGTTCACAATGCAGGAGTTCGCGGCATTAAAAGCGTAGACTAATTTTTTGCATAACTTCTACTCAGAAATCGCTCGAATATGGGAATGCAAGTACGAAAAGGGAAAGTAATTGAACTCACTGGATGATGCCCGATAGACATCAGCAAAATGTCCACCGCCGATCCGCTCTACAAGTTGTAGGGATGCAAAAAACGGGTCCTGATTTTCGAGTAGAGGTTCCTCCTCCGGTGTTTCTACAAAAAGTCTTGCTTCCACTCCACAGATCTATTTAAAAGACAGTGCTTTTATTCACATTAATTGCGACTCCACCTGAGCAATCACGGTCGAACTGCGAAGACCATGGCGATACTGCTTCGCCGGTATTAAATGGTTGTTGGACTTCTTCTGGCAATTCATGCTGTTTTCGTCGTCGCGTTCGATAGCATCGACTTGCAGCTAATAGGAAAATCACTACGCTGAGCAAAGACGAAGTCCATATCAATATCGTAATCCGAGAGTCTGAAAAAAATTACAGGGTACATCATAGGATTCGTGACCGCAGGTTCTAAGTAGGTAGTAAGATATCTCCAAAGCAACTCAGAGACATAATTGAAGTGATAGAATCTATCTGATTGCTTACTGATTGCTCTGTACTGATACCACGCTCATTTTACTAAATAGAATAGGTGAATAGTCAGAAACAGTATCAAACAGCACTTGGTGATATCAGGTGACCGTACCAAGTACCATAGAATCAGAGCAGTACGCAGGGAAGCTACTGGTACGGTAAGCTCAAGAGATGATCGTCATTAGTNATCGCAAGCAAAAACTTTAGTTGGCATGGTAGAATCCAGGGAGAAAAAGAAGAAATTATTTGCGGTAGCTAAGCTACAGGAGTAGTTTACATCTCTTTAAGTCAAAAACAGCAACCTATCATGGGATGGAAAGCGAAATTGGTAGTAACGCTAGTCAAAAAAGGAAAGGGACAAAGCAGCTATAAAAAATGAATGTACCTCGACGCTGAAGAACCTCGCGATTTGTTTTTTCATGGCTTTGATTGGATCGGCGATGATGAGACAGAAGCGAGTCGAATTTATTACAATTATTCGATTGACAACAGCACATATAAGTGGGGTATCCATCTAAAACTTGCGATTCGGTAGAAAAATGAATAAAAAACCAACACAGCCTCATCTTCTCGAGATTTCCGGAGTCTTAGCCTTCCTTTTCTACTCACAATCAGAACAAAGCAAATAGTATTGAAACAAAAAGATGAGTGGATAGAAAAGTTGAATTTACTTCGTAATGGCTGGAATATCCGACTGCCGTTGGAGCACACATAAGGTCTTGAACAGAGATCTCGTGTGATGTCCCAGCAACCTAAAATCCTACTTGGAATGAAAACACTGTGGACTCAGTTAAGATGAATATCAATTCGCTATTGTTCAGATGGGTATTTCAAACATCAGGGAGAGGCACCGTTACGGCAAAGAGAAGCTGCCCCCACTTCTAACAATTAAATCCAAAAAGAGGGAAAGAGTGAACTGGACATCAAATACCTTTACTAACCATTCCGGTAGACTTATGGAAATCTGGGAGGGAGTCAATTGCACGGCAATTCCCAAAAGAGTATATTAATTGAGGTCATGTCATATTTTTTATATATGCTTTATTATACACCAAGCTTACCTTGTAGCAGCATTTCGATCTCATTATTGCGTACTGTCCACACTGCCACACAATGTGCTTGTGGATCCCTACATTGTACAGGAGAAGGGGCTACCGACTCCAGACCCTGAGGAGATTTCGATGGCTCAGAAACATTTGGACATTACTGATAAGTAGACCACTCTAACTGCATTAGCTACATCATCTACTGAATGCTTACCGTTGATACATTAACTGCTGCTCTCGAAACTTGGTTGATAAGTTGTTCCCAGTCATTCAAACCACCAGCTCTCGAAAATATGCAGTGAAGGCTCTGATTACCTGAAATTATAAAGCTGTCTGAGGCATTATAGAAAATCCGAAATCATAATTGTATCCTCTGAAATGAGCCATACACTTGGAAAACAAAAGAATAGTGGCTGTCATGCCCGCCCCTGCTCGTCCAGGTGCTTTTGTAGATCACACCATTGAGCGCATTCATAATACCCGCGTTGACGCCGTCGTCGGCGTTAGCGTCACACTGTGAACGCGCTCATTCGTTCTTACGCTCGGTAAGGGTCCAACTACTGGGTCCTTGTTTTGAAAATGGATGCATCGCACATAAGTTAACTGGAACGAAATTCAGGACGGGAATCCAGTTCATACAGTGACCTAACGGGGATCTGTACAACATTCCAAATATGGACTACTGTGTAAAATTGCTAGTTATTCCGATCGATACTCTTAACCGAGCTCAATGTGTCGGACCTATGCCCCACTCATATTCAAGTAAATCCTGACACCTCGGAGCAACTTCGGCGAGCAATCAACTAGCCCGTTTGAGTTTAGCCGCTGAAGTGCAGCCAAAATAGTTAGTGTTATCAAATCTATAACCTCGGATAGGCGATTCTGAGGCGCTTCCGTAGAGTAGGAGAATAATCAAAGCAAATCCGAATATCATCGACGCATGACTAGTTAGGAACAGGATAGTCGAGGTGTTCGTAACGTAGGAAGCGGTCGTGCTTCGCAGCTATCACAAAAACATCGCAGCGACAGTGCAGTGCAGGTGACTGCGGTGACTGCACCACCCAGGAGGTGGTATGCCTTTCTGGCGCCACGATGGCGAGGTGGCTGAGAGACATCCGAGTCTTGCAATTACAACAACGGAAGTCAATACGAATCTGAATTACTGCCACATCTTGATGGGATTACGGTATAAATCTGGAACCGATCCAAATTTTCGATATTGTTCCTTCAGCTGGTGAGAAGCCTGTTCCAAGTGTGGTATGCAGTGTGGTATGCATGAAAGCGGACGTTTTGCTGCTTTTCCTGGGTCTTTACATTGAAACCTGAAGAAAGTAATAAAGGCAAGTCTGAGGGGATTCTCAGCGTTTCGAAGCTTGAAGAAAAACTCTCCAGGCTCGGACCACATAGGAGCGTTTGCTAGAAGCAATTTGGTGGGATTCTATCCCCATGTTTTGTAGGAGATAACGGGTGGCTAAGCAGCAAACCTTCAAAGACCTTCGCAGCCCCTTGCTTATTTCCGTGGTTAAAACCTCGCGAAAATAATTGTATCCTTTAGCTGATCCTACTGCCCCGCCCACATGCCCTTAATTTGATCCAACGATTAAACAACAGCGCTCTAAATCACGGATACAGCTTCGTCTGATGGAATGTCGCAGTTTTGCGGGT